TTTTTTTTTTAACTGAAACATTTGTGGCACTGCAACCTGCTATTGGAGGTGATACGAGCATCCTCCAATAGCGAGCCCCAGTATCTAGATGGCTCCAATCTATTGATGGGGAGCATCACCTGCTGGAAACCGGGTCCAGCGTCCCACTGACAAGATTGAAGACCATATACCTGGCGGAACAACATTGATTGCCCTCTCTCGAGGGGATTGACTGTTCGCCCAATTATCATCCAGGTCACAGCATATATGAAGATCTAGCCATGGGGAGGGTGGCAAACTCTCCTCCGATCATCCTAATTCCTCACAGTCAAAACCGTGCAAAGCAAACCCTAGGCCCCCTCTGTGCATAAGGCCGCTGCCCAGCTCCATGATTCACATTTTCCTCCAGCGGAGAACGTCTGCCTACCCTCCCTTATCGTAAGCTCTTCACCCGGCGAAGATGAGTCTCACAAGATTGTTTTTATCAAATTACTGGCAGAGGATAGCGAAATCCGCGACATATTTAATTCTTGTTATTATTAGTAGTATCACACATCTGCCATGCATACTCTTCCCATTGCCATTTCGCCAAAAAGAGTTTTGCCCATCCCTTATCAACTGTCCTATCTCCTCCCCCTATCCCCCACCCAACCTCTCACTCCTCTCCATCGTGCCCCCCACCTAGTGACAGTCACAGAATATGACCGTGAGGTCCGGCAACAGGGAGGGGGCAGGGGGAAACCCTAGGTTAAGAAGAGACAACGACAGGTGATATTTACGCGAGAGTAAAAAATCAAAACACATGCCAAACCCATCGAATCCAACCCCCCCCCGTGGTCCACTACCTGAGCCACCCCCATGATTGTATGACGCCGCGACTCATGAGTATTACCCTCTAGGGGGAAATGGCATACCCCTGCGATATCAAAAAAAGCGTTGTCGTCGCCATTGCTCGGTAAATCATCACTCATGATATCATTGCCCACATCAGCCTGCTGGGTAGATGATGAATCAATTGTAAAAAAAACTTTCAAAACAAGCGGAGGAACCGCATCACCTACCTCCGCCGAAGCACCGTTGTCAAACAATGATGACGATGCCTTTTGACCTTTCGCGGGTTGTTGGTAAGACTGTGAAACAGCTAGCAGCAAACCTTCGGGAGCAAGTGCCCGGATCGCCGCTCCCACATCTGTCAAATCTTCATTATTTACTACAACAGCCTGAAACTAATAGCCAAACGATACAGACACCGCCATGGGATCGTCACCCAATTCATCACTCGCCTGAGCAAATGTACTCTACGCCCTCTTTCTCACAAATCTGCATCACACCATCTTTCTTGAGATTGTCGAGAGCCCTTCTTGCATCCTTGACAAAGGTAAGTTTGTCGACAACCTTTGAAGGTCCAGCTTAAGTGTTGGTCTTCTTCTTTCCTTTCCCAGTCGACTTCCCTACTTCCTCCATCCTCCGGCGTAGATCCGTACCGGGAATTCGTTGTCCTGCTTCGAGCCTCGCTTTCTCTTATTTTAACTTCTCCAATTCTTGTTCAGCTTCCCTTCTTGTGTTCAACTCCTTAAGACGAAGCTCCTGAAGCGTCTTCACCTCTAGAGAGTGTCGATGCACTAGGCCGGCATAGTCAACGACAACTTCTGGCGATTTCAACGGAGTCAACCTAGACCGTGTACGGCCAGTTGCGCTGGGTGTCACCGCGATGCATCCACGTTTGTTGTCGGGCCGCAGAGCTTCCGTCCGCCACTGTTCAGCTTCAGCCATTGAGTCGTCGCACATCTGCCTCAGAGCTTCT